GAGAAAAGTTACGTGAACGATCGCATGATTTGTCAGAGTTTATGAAAACTTTATATCAGAATGAGAGAGGGAGACATCTCATTATTGCTGGCCAGCTTTGGCCTGTTTTCTGACAGGCCTCAAACTCCACCGCTAAACACAAGAGACGTCGAGACAACAAATGCTTCACCACAGAGGCGTTCCTCCTCTGTACTGGATGCCAGCAGAAAGAGAGGAAAATCAGTTAATGCAACGCGGCCACTTCAGCGTCTCATAAAAGCCCTTACAAAAACACATGTTTGTTTTTATGCTCTGCGTTTAGCCAAAAATGAGTAATACATCTATCATTTCTGCTCGCGAGAGTGACGTGACACTCAGGTCATGCACCTCATGTCTCCAGGCTTTGAAAGAAGCAATAAATCAATCTGGGTGCTATTACTTACAATTAATTGTGCTTTAAAGTTTTACAGTGTGTTTATGATATGCAGGGCCTGGATGATTTATGTGGACGGTTTGAGTCACTCCCTCTAATTGCTGTTGTTTTCCCGGCTTATAACCCCCGCGTGACCTCTCGGCTTAAGCTGCCAGAGTGCTCAGAACTGGGCCTGTTGCACTGATCCAAACACTGGACAGGCTTCAGCAGTCGAAAGCCAGCTACAGAGAAACACACGCGTGGACGCATAAACCATTCGCAGACACTGACAGATAAGTACACATACCTGAGAGAATGAACATGTGGCTCCTTTGGAATAATCTGACACAAACACACAGTGCATTTCATCATCATACAAAATAAACATGTCCAAACAATTATAAACAGCTGTTTTAACATTTAAGATATGCTGTCATTAGAAGACGGAGAGCAGCGGGGTCTCAAGTGATGCAATTAACAGATAATAAGACATTATGTAAGATGGGGGAAAGGACATCATTTGAAAGCGAGCAGATCGCAATATGTCTGGGAGCTTTCTGGTCCGAACATAAAGCAGACAGGCACTCAGCGTGGTTAAAGTTTGCCCACAACGCCTACTCTATCCGCAGTGCTGTCCTCATCTGACCTACTGTATACATATTGATTCAGGAATGTGTCATGAAAGAAAGGTGACAAATCAGGCCTCTGTATGTATAATAGCGGGTGCAAATACAGAATCTAGCAGAGAGCGAAGAGTGGCAATAAACTTGCTTCCACAGCAATCTGTTGGGTTATATAGCCTTCCCCTGTTGAGAACCATATTCTTTGAGTTTTCTCTGAGGACACATTTGTTCAGTAAAATGATTCAGCAAACCCACTGAAGGCACATTCACAAAGCACTATATTGCATGCTGTTTGTTATGTTTGAGAGCTTCGGGGAACTCATAACTCTCAAGCAGAGATGAACGTGGCAACATACTTTACAGGGCACACTTGAGACTTGAAAAGGAAGCAAAACAACCAACCTATAGCAAAACGCCTCCTCTTTTTTTTTGGCTTTGCAAATAAAAAAAAAGCCACAATCATGCGTCACATAATGCACAATCATGGGTCTAAAACCATGCAGTCTATCTCAGATTTGGACCGTTCCCTTCGGTGCAAACTTAAAATGAACTGCTGTCTGCTGCAGAGTAAAACAGGTTAGTGTCTGGGGAAGAAAAAACAGAACTGAAAAGATCCACTTGAGGACTTTCCTGGCTCTGTCACTGTCAATTCCCTTGAAGAACCGTTACCCTGTGTGCAGAGACTCATGGGACCCGGGAGCTGGCTCAAGCCACCCTGCAATGCAGTCTGCTTTACATTATACGCAGAAGGATGTGGGGAGGAGAAAAAAAAACTTGTGTTCATGCTCGAAAATCAAGTCAAATACTTCGTCCAGGCAAAATCTAAGTGACATCCGAGGAACATTTATACCCGCTGACGTAGCTACCAAGCTGTGCTTAGTGAGGGGGACCATGGACTTACTTCATTCACTGTGAAACACTCTTAAACATGTGGCAAGGAGTAAATGTTATTCTACTAGTTAAATTTGCTACGCACTTTTTTTTTTAGCAGCGCTCGGGATCTGAAAACAGAATTTGCTGTCATAGTGTTTTGATAGACATGGCCAGTTTAACCCAAGGGTTCGACAGCATAATGTGGGCTCCGTGGCAGAGTGGAGGGAGGTGGAGGAACCGGGCCAAAAAGCACCACATGTATTTTCCGAAAGCAGCCCAACACAGTCCAAATGGCTCTACGTGGTTTAACGCCATTTCATTCCATGACCTCTAAATCCTCAAAGAGAATTATCACATTATAGCATTCCAACACGCCCAATTTCCCAAAATACAGCTCAAGGCTTTTCCACTCTGACTCTGCTTAGTGTTGTGGTTTTGGGAAAACACTTCAATCGTCCCCGCTTCGTTTTTTTTGTTTACTTCAGGTATTTATATATATTTTTTTTCCTCTGTCTCTCTTGTCTTTGTCATTTTGCCTCTGCCTGTTTCTGTCCAACTACTTGTCCTTTCCACTCAGAAATGCAATATACCCAAAACCCCAAAGAGAAAATTACCCCCTTCTGAGTTTGAAGCGAACACCAAAACATACAGACAAGTCAGAGACAGCTCATTGTCACCCACTTATGGTGTCATGCCCACTAGTGCATGAAGGCACACAATAACAATTAAAGGAGTGACAAAATTATCCTCAGTGTGTGAGCATGGCTATTCTGCTTGAGCCAAATTCTTGTTTTCCTCTTTGTCTCACTGTTTGTCTTTGCAGTGAAGGTTTGACTCTGTGACACGAGGATACACACTTTTCTACAACTTTGTGTTCAGTCCGCACTCACAAATCTTTGCAGATTTTTCTTCCTGCAAACAACCGGTCATTGACTGTCTGGTTATGATTTAGGCAACATGGAAAACACTGGGAATGTATGAAAAGTTATGGTGTTCAGATTGTGCTAAAGACCATAACTGCTTTATCAGAACCATGTGGCGGCGCTCAGTGCCATGCCATAATGGCATGATTGAAAAGGAGTTAAAACTGTGGTCACAATCCACTTCGATATGACTCAACAGAGGGTCTCAAAAGTTCAGCACTGTCTCTTTCATAGCGAGTCCATTAACTGTTCCAATACGCACATCATGCAGCGGGAATGATCTGATAGAGCAGGGGCTCTGTCTTCAGATTTATGCTGTCATGAGTGGGCATGTATCACTGTAACCCTGCTGCCGTTTCTATGGTTTCAATTTATCTACTGTAAACAGCAGGAAGGAGATTTGTCATATAAGGTCTTGAAGGAAAACTAACCATACGCAGAGTGAAAAACTTTAAAATAAACCTTTTAAATCACGTCTGCGGCCCTGTGATTTCTCCCTACAGTACTCGCACTAATTGAGACTCAAATGGTAGCACGAGTGACAGCGAGACAGCTAATTACCATCCCTTGTAATGAAGCAAATGGCAGACACTGTACCATGAGCTACTGTTATGAGCAACACCCTGCTGTACCAGACATAAAAGCAAACACAAATATCTAATTATGCCATCATCTCTCCTGGCTTTCCTGTTCCTGTTGCAGATGTTGCATTAATTGGTGGCCCGCACTATTGGTCAGCTTACAATCACTCTGATGATGTGGACGATTAGAGCCGGGAGGTACTCATGGCTCATCAAGTCCGTGATAGTTGACGCATCACGTCTCATCTAACTCAAAACAAATGTTATGAAAATGCCGCTGTGACATCCCAGGGCCCAGACATGGGATACGTCCTGGCAAAGAAAAAAAAAAAATCATTGTGTAGACTCAGTCAAACTGCTAATAAGGAGCTGCGGATAGGACAGCAAAAGTATGTTCAGGCGCACAAAATAGATGCATTTTCATCAAAGCTGTAACCTTTTACTTTGCATAGGGAATAAATAATCATATACAGCAGGTTCAAAGACACAAAGACAGAAAAACACACACATCATGTCAGCTGGAATCAGTGATTATCTTTCCTTTCATCTGAGGCTGTGGCGACAAAGGCAAACATTTCTTTCCCACTGACAAGCTATGTAAATAAAATCTTATAAAGTGACTTTACCCTGCCAAAAAGCATTGTAGAGGTCCTTAGTTTCTTTTTATACAAAGTGGATGAACAGTGTTTTCATTCCACTTTTCTCCATCTACCAAACATGCCAGACTGAGGTTAAATTATTTCAGTGTTTTGCTTCCCTGCTTGCCACTTGCATGAAGAATCAAGAACAAAGCATAGCATGAAGTGACACTAAAAGAGTACACTATCTTAGCTGATTGTCTGAAACAATAAATATTTTGTTTTTCCTCGTGCACTTTTAAACCCGACAGCAACTCACATGCTTATGATTTGTCACTGGATGCCTTCGCTCCTGCTACTCTGGATCCATTTTTACCTCCCAGGCTCGCTGTCAGAGCCCCAGGGACCTTGAAACGACAAAGCTTAGCTGATCCAAACGGTAAATATTTCATGACCTTACAATTACATGAAATCAAATCTCGGCAAAAGCCGTTCATTTATAGTACATTATCAAAGGGGTGGAGGAAGGAGGGGGCGTTGAATTGGGTATATCTATGAACCTCCTGAACTCTAATTAGCCTGTGTGGCCCAAAACAAGAGAGGGAGGAATAAGTGCACGGGTTCGGGATAATTAAGCGATTGTGAGCGGCGTGTACGTGAGCTGTCACTCCAATCGCCAGCCATGTCACACTTGGCAACACAACCGCGACCGGACAGCCGCCCGTCGTCTTTGATCTGGGCTCATGCATACGAAATCAGGTCAGGCCGTGGTCACACACATTTACACACACATACAACACACACACACGTACACTTTAAGCGATAGTAAAGAGAGACTCTTTACAAAGGGCCACAGTACCAGGACCTCTGTAAAGGGAGACTGACAGTCAAGCATGCACAGGAAGAAAGGGAGGATAAAGGAAGAGAATAGAAAAGGGAAGAAAGGGATGAATGTGACAAATCCACTCAAGACTTCTGAGGGACTAGTATTTAAAACAGTGTTTAAAAAAACCCCACAGAGCTTAACTTACAGCTTCCGACTTTGGTTTGACCACTTTCATGAATGCTCCTCTCGCCTGCGCCTCCGTCACTTCTTTTTTGGTTACCTTCCTGCTGTCCAGAAACTTCAGCTGGGGCAACTTGTGCAGAACAAAGTACCTGTGAGAAAACAACAATTCAACTTAAAAACTGTACCGCACCGCCACCTTTAAAGGTCTCCTTGTGCTTGTAGGCCTGCTCTTGACAAAGAGACAAACAGGGAATCTAAGGAAGTGTGTAAACCGTGATACACTAATCAAACTGACACACATTCTAATATGTAAATGCACGCGTCAACAAAACTTGAAAAGAAGCCGTGTTTACTGAGATTTAATGGTGGTGCAGATTTAATGGTGATATTTTCTTGTATGTAATAACCTTCAAAGCTGATAAGAATAAGTAGGACATATAAATAGCACGAAAGGAGATACAACCCGTCTGCCAGAGCTGTCATTCTGGCAGCATCACAGATATCTCTCTAAGCTTTCAGACACACTCTGTCTTTCATTGGGAGGGAGAGAAACGTCAAAAGATAATGGTTGGAATACATAGATGACAACAGATCCTTTCACAGGCAGGCAGGGATAGAGGAACCAGTATGTCAGGGCTGAGCTGGTAGCCAAAAAGGACATGCATGCAGCACCTAAGTGGAGGGTGAGAAAGGACGGGGGGATATGGGCACAGACAAGACCTGTGCGCAAAGAGCTGTGACAAATTGATGATGGCGATGGCGATGAGGGGAGATGGCAAAGCCTGTGTCAAGTTTTCAACACCTGAGGATTATAAGGAGGGGATGCAGGGATCACATTTAGACTGACACGGAACATGAAATATCTCCGTGCAAATTTAAGGGAGAAAAACATCTGATATAATTTGAAAGAGACATAAAACAGGAAGAATCCTTATCCGCAAACAAGAAACAAATGATTAAAACGCTAAAAAAAGGATATGGCCCATTTTATAGGAGCATTATTGTGGGGTACAATGACCTCCTCCTAACCCCTAATAAGAGCTCCTTTTCTGATGAGAGCACCAGCACTCCAATGCAAGAGGCCCCAATCCCATCCTGTGTCTCCGTCCCTGTAAAAGGACTTTGTTCAGGGCATTTCCATGATGAAATGTGAAGATGCCCTTGGGAGAAATGCAGGGAGGTTATTCTCCATAGGTAACCTACCATCACAGGGTCAGAGCAGATGACAAGGCTCTGTCAGCCAGTAGGGATATTAATGATTCAACCCAACCAAAGAGGGAGGATTAGAGAGGACGGGGGGTAGAGAGAGGGGGAGCAGGATGACGGCGAAAAAAATCTCAGCGTCATATACTTTATTTAGCAATACCAAACATGTGATGACAACATTATTATTTTTTCTGCCGCTGGAGGTTGTTGTTGTAGAGTAAACAAAAACAGTTAGATTATATTATATTTTCCTTAAATGTTTGATTCAATTATTAATTTATATATTTATTTTTAGAAAAACTGAACAATTTGGTGAAAATTGTATGGAAAGCAGAGACAAATCTCTAAGATAATGCACATAGGATTGTCAATACTATATATAATGTTATCGATGTTTATAATAAACATAATTTCAAAATTTCAAATAATGAGGTAAATATCCATGAAGGTGATCTCTGTATGCAAAAAGCCCAGGCTTCAGACCATGTTGAATACTCTGAAAACTCATTCACTCATTCACAAATTTTTGTAATCGCATATCTTGTTAAGGGTCGCGTGGGGGCTGGAGCCAATCCCAGCTGACACTGGGCGAGAGGCAGGGTACACCCTGGACAGGTCACCAGACTATCACAGGGCTGACACATAGAGACAGACAACCATTCGTGCTCACATTCACACCTATGGACAATTTGGAGTCACCAATTAACCTGCATGTCTTTGGACTGTGGGAGGAAGCTGGAGTACCTGGAGAAAACCCACGCTGACATGGGGAGATTTCTACATTTCTACTTTCAAAATACGGTGACATCAGCTGGTGATGGATGTCTTTATATGGTCTTCTGCTCTGGGCATATTTACTGCAAGTGTTTACATTACGTAGCCTACACTGCTACATGTAGCTACATGATAACATCAGGGAAACATGAAATCTCGGTTGCAGATGTTACCGATGTTAACTTCTCCATGATTTCAGATCATATTCCTGGTGCTACGTGTCAAGTTGTGGTTTTGGTTCAAAAACTGTTACTGGTGTTTTTTCCCAGTAGAAAGTGAGTCCATACTCCATTACAGTCATTTACGCGGATGCGAGTACACTGCTACATGTAGCTACATGCTAACATAAGGGAAACATGTAATCTTGGTTGCCAATGTTAATTTCGCTTCAATTTCTTGCTAGAACAACAACGGTTGTCAAGATTTTAGTTTAAAACCTTTCTGGTGACTTTTCATGGTAGCAAATGCTGCTATACCTTTTTTTTGTCATTCTACCAGCTGCCATGACAATGTTAAGATCTAGAGGTACGGAAGACCCCGAAATGCTGACCAATCAGAGCAGACTTGGCTTTTTTAGGAGGGGGGGCTTATTAAAGAGACAGGTGCTAAAATGGAGTGCCTCAGACAGAGGGTGAATACAGGTGTTACAACACAGACAATATGAGGAAAATAAATTATTTTTCGAGCATGTAAACATGTTCATTAGATGACAGTAATTCATTTGTCTCAAACTTTATTCTCGATATTAGCTGAATTGTATTATATTTTGCCTGTAAACTCCAACTATACAGAAAGACAAAATTAACTTTTTTGTTTGGCCGACCTGCTTAAAGGTGGTTATTTTGGAAAAGGTTACACTAATATTTAACTAGAATTACTTGACGTTACAAGGAAACTATGGGAGCCATAAAATATAATGTTTTCGAACAGTCATTGCACTTAAAAATAATAATAAAAAGAATATTTATAGACACTGTGGGTAGTTATTATGCAGCTGCATTTATGCCATTTGGAAACAAAGGTTGAGTGAACACAAAGTGCAGCTGGTGGTTGAGTCACCTCAGGCACAAGCTCTTTGATCTGCCACAAAAGGAGATCGGACAAACTGATAACTTACGTCAAGATAAGAAGTTAAAATGTCACATAAAAATACGTTAATCTTTATATATCAGAAGCAGAGAGAAAAGACAGAGGTCAAGTTACATCTATTGTCACAATAATTCAGGGTTTCTCACACAGACTGTGTCCTACAAGCACAATGCCGCGTTATCAGTAACCATTGAGAACATATAGTATTACACTCTCAAACTCTTGTGTTATTGTGGTACTACAAATGGCCACTAAGTGTACGCATGGTCGGCTAATAACAGGACGACACTTAACCTCCACGCAGACTACACAATACTGTGTGAATGAATTCTACGTTTCTATGTCATTGCTCTAATTGGGGCACCGATGCAACGCACCAGGGTATTTCACTTGAGAGACCAAGAGCTCCAGAGGCACTGGGCTGGGTATTTATTGCCCAAGGCCAGTGCTGTCACGACCTGCATACAGCCTAACCTTGTCAGACATGAAATCTGCATCACGCTCAAATTGATGTTTTACTATGTGACACATTATGAATATTACATTACAGGACCCTAGACGTTGTCAGTCAAAACAGAACAGCTTTCCTCACCAGCAAGATAAGCATGCGAGGAGAGGGGGAAAGGGGGAGAAAAGGGAGAAGGGGAGGGAAAGTAAGGGGGGGGGGGGGGGGGGGGGGGGGGGGGGGGACAAAAAGGGAGAAGAAAGATTATTCAAGAAAGGCATGGGTGGTAAATGATTAATAGGCAACGCAGAGTCAGAAACAAGCACTTAGGGCTAAAACAGACAAAAGAGAGTATGCTTTTCGCCTTTTATCGCATTTCATGTAAAGGACCCTGACAAATGGTGGTCATATTGCATGGCTTGAGGCCGAGCTTGATGTTTAATGCATCATCTGCTCTGGTAAGGCAGGGTAGTAAACACTCATTTGTGGTGGTGACTAGTCACACATGAAATCCATTTTGCAAACTGGAGTGTAGAGGGGCCAGTTGACAAAGCTTTTAGAGTGATGTGGTTGAATCCGCAGTCTGCTTGTGAAATGTAGGGGGGGCTGGATGTTAAAAAAGGGAACATCTCCAAATCCATTACTTACAAAAAGCTATCACTCTGAATAGCTTAGTATCAAAACTGTCTGACTGAAAATACAAACACACACACACACACACACACACACACACAGAGACGCACACAGGGAGAGAAAGAGGGAACATTATCTATCTATTTAAGCAGATCAGAGTAATATCCTTTCCTTATTTATGTGTGACATCATCGCAGCCCGTGTAATAACTGACCTGTATCTCTGGTAGTCGTCCTCATCCTTATCCGGGCTGACCAGCTGGTTGGGGCAGGCCTCATTTCCCAGCAGGCTCAGGTACTCCAGTGACGGGGTCACATCAGCCAAGTGTTCCAGCAGGGCCTCGATATCAGTCAGGTGTCAAAGGGCGGATGTCAAGGACCTAGCGCTGTTAATTACATTAGCATTTACTACCCGCGCGGCCCCCCCGGGCCTGTCTGCACTAAAACACGTCACTGTCAAATTTGCCGAGGTGCTCAAAGGGGCTAGTCACTGGCTTTGTGAGACTGGGCAGACAGAGGGGCAATTTAAGGTGCAGGCTTTGGCATATAGTAGTGACACAATTTGGCTGCTGCTCTCTCTCCCCTTTCTCTCGATCTCTTTCATTTCCTAGGTGGCCGGGTGCAGAACAGTGACAAAATGATGGATGCCCTGTGGTTCAAACAGTCCGTGCTTCCCAGAGCCGCGCTGTGGAAAAACTTTTGCGAAACGTGGAAAAAAACAAACAGCCCCTAAAGCAGGCACATTCATCACTAATACATTCACTTGGAAAATTGAGCCCCAAAGTGTCAAAATACAACTGCACTAATGCAGTGCTCGAGCTTTAAAATGGCACTGTGCCACGACAGGATGTACATAATTGGCCTATTAGCATGTGCCGACCACTTCACAACCAAACTCAGCACACAGTCCCAGACGCACACTTCAAGGAGCCCCAGTTTTAATGTTGACTCTGGAAGTGTGTGTGTGTGTACGTGTGCGAGAGAGACTGAGCATCGTTACCCAGTAGGATCTGCATAACCAGAGGAAAACAGGACACATTGCTAAACCTGTTCTGAAGCTTAGAGGGGAAGTTCACACGTTTCTGACTGATCATAAACAGCCTCGCAATGTGTCTGTGTCTTGAATTTAGGGTGGCTGTGCGGAGCTCTGCTTTTTAAGCCGTGTTTACTTTGGTTGGCAAGCCGAACACACAGGGCTGTTATAATCAATGAGCCAAAATGTGAGCATGTTCTAGCGCGCTGAGTGACAAATTAAATGACTGATTCCTTTTTATTTCGGCGAGGTAAAGCAGTGAAGCAAAATGCAACTGATGCAAATGTGAAAAAAAATCCTCATTTGATTCTCTATAATTTAAAATAACAAACAGCTAATGCATCACACCAGATTGTGTCTCATTCTTGGGGTGCAGTTTTAATCCAACACTTTTTTATTCCCTTTGAAAAATAAAAACACATCTGTTATGTTGACTCTAAAATCTGATTCCACTAGAGGTCCCTGTGGTTCAAAAACTCGTCCTGTGTGGAGCTGTGTGACAGCCAAGTTCCTCTGCTCTCCTCTCCAACACACAGTGCTCCCCTGCAAAACCACAACATTAAAAACTGGCTCTGTCAAGCGAAGGCTGTATTGACATATGGATGTAAACAAAACACACTGTTGATTCTGAAAGTGATGCCTGAAATATATGCCTGCGTAGTCGACTGCAAATCAAACTGAGAAACGGCCTGAGTGATTAGCTTGAAAGGATATTTGGTTCTTATTGAGTGTTAAGGTGTGGAGGTTGGGTAACCTGGGCAACCGGAGGTCATTTCCAAGCAGATTGTTGTCAACGACCAGCTCTTCCAGCTCGGTGAACATTTTGAGGCCCGCCAGTGACCTGCAATGATAAGGCAACAGGAAAACTGTTATGGCTCTAAATCTGGTCAGCCGTTATTGTGCAGAAATAAATATTTCAGCCTCCCTCTTTCATACGCCGGGAGAGTATGGGTCTGGGCCTGTCAGGGAAGTGAATGACAAGAATTAGTGGTGCTGAGCTCCCCTGGCATGGTGAGGCATCCTTCAACGGCTGGCAGGATGAGGGATGGGGGTCACTTGTGAGTAGCCAGGATTCAAAACAAAAGGCTTCAGAAATGCGGCGGGCAGGATGAATTTGTCAATGTCTTGTGCCTTGAGGCGCCCAGTTTCGCCTGACCCTAACCCTCCATTCCCAAGACAAATCACTCTGTCACAGTTCACCTTCACTCCCCAGACACAAATTTAACTTGTCATCCATCATTTTCACAGAGGAACCGGAATACACTCGCAATCACAGATGGAATGGAAGGGAAACTTTTTTTTTTTGCAACTCTACCACGATAGGGGTTAGTGTTGGGATTTTAACATCAAAGGATGTGCTTTTTCTTTTTTTAAAGGTGGAATTTTTGCCTTTTCGCTCCTTCTTTTATGACGAATTGCAAAGAGAGGTGAAGGGTCATCCTGACTCTTTCCTCCTCTGTCTCTCTCACACACAAACACATTCACACAGGCATAAAAATGATGGAGGGTGGTGTTAGGAGTAATGTTAGAGCCCTGAAAAGTTCAAGTCACGGGAGGTGCACAAAGGCAATGTGTGTGTTGTCTAATCCTTCACACTGTCAGCTTGCCATGTTAAAGTGTCCTGGGTGACTTCATTGACATTTAAATCTGCCAGAACCTGACACATATTGACTGTGTACTTTTCAGGAATCATTCCTTGCACTTTAACCAACAGGTATTTTTAATTAAACACAGTAATTTTCAATTATTAAATATATCTGACTGGTTCTAAATTCTGCATTATAAGTATAGCACAGTGTGTTTCTAGTTTCAAAAGCAGACATAACCTTGACAGTAGGTTATATAAATATGAATTCCAGTGAACAGTGTCACATTGCAACATGACAAACTCAAGGTACAGTGAGGTCTTAACAGCTGCAGCGTGAACTATTGCTCCTCCCTGGATCTGCTGAGTGTCAGTGGCTGCCATAATACACATCAACTTAGAGCTATGTAAATATAACACCTTTATCATGACAATCTGCAAACAGATGGGGGAAGGGCACGACGTACAGTCACGTTCATTATGGAAACTACATACTAGCAAAGGAAGGATAGATGAGTACTTGTGTGCTCCTATAAGCTTAAACTCTAAATGTAGTCTTAGATCCAAAAACACACACACAGACACACAGAGTGGACACACATTCGCAGCAACTTTACAAAGCAAAAATGTTGCAACTATCTACTCTGGTTAAAAAAACGACAAATAAGCAATTCATTGTAGACTTGCAAGTGAGGCGGACTGAGCTGCATCATTTCAAAAGACATCAACATTTTGCAAACACACACACACACTTGATACCCACAACAACAGCTGACAGCACCTAGCCAGTGTGCTGGCAAAGCCGCTTGCTGACAACCTCTTATCAGGTCTGATTAATGCACTGGCAAGATGGATGAATAGAGAGATGTGCCAGTTTTATGAAATCCTACTCTGTTTGCTAGTTTTTGTTCCCCCCATGGTGCTGCTTATTTATGAAAGCAAAAAGGGCCCATTAGGCTAGTACACTTAAATCTATAGAGATGGAAAAGAGGTACATTTAATTACAGTTCTCCTTTTTCTTTTTGTCTTTTTTTGTGTTGGATTTACAAAATGCCAGCTAAAATCATTAAAGTATTAAGTTGCCACACTTCTACTTAAAGATTTTGCATGATTTTAGGTAGCATTTTTTTTTTTTTTTTTTTTTTGACAGGGCTGCTGACCCAAACTTTAGCGATTAGAAAACAAACTTTTATTTCTCAGGGCAGTTATGGTGTTTGCACTGACAGGGAATTCAGTACAACATGCTATTTATCTGCGAGAATAATATTCGTCAATGTGTACTGTAGTTACAGGCTCAAACCGTATTGCACAGACATTATTACATTTTCTGTGAACAGAGGTTGCTAACTATTGCCACCTGTATGTGTGTATGTGTGTGTGTGTGTGTGTGTGTGTGTGTGTGTGTGTGTATGATGGGCTGCAGTCCTGTGGGTTATGTTATTAGCTGCTCGGTTAAAGGGAGCCGCATGGCACAGGGGGGAGCCTTATTAATTGTTGTTTTCATGTCACCACTGCTGCGTGCACTGGCTGATTTAATCAGTTAAATTCACAGCCAGGGGAGAGCCACTGAGTCCCATCCAGCATTAACTACAGTGCAGGGATTGAACTTGTAATACTCTCCAGCTTTCTGTGCTCCCTCTGCAGATTTCCATAGCTGGTTTCATTACTTTTTATAAGCTTTCTTGTTTTAATGTGCGGCTTGGAAGACTAACAAAGTTTAAGCACTGCAGTAAAAGTACTTCACTTCAAAACACAGAGAGGGAGCAGCTTTTGCTTTTAACAAAACTAATGAGCATAATTGACTTGAGTCCCAATGTTATAGAGGTTTGGTGTATGGCAAACACAGTCAAACCACATGTACAACAAACAGAGATTTTACAGGAAATGTACGTAAAAATGTTTATCTAATGTCAGCATTGTTTTCTGTATTCAAATCCTGCAAACATGTTGTGATAATGTTTATAAATGTATCTTTATTTTAACCGCAATGGTAAATGCTACTACTGTTTGGGCTTGTTTCATACATCCGCTAATGATGAAAGTGGTAGTCACTTATATTTATGCTTATTGTTAGATTAAGGGGAATCTTTTTACTAAAAAACAATGAAGAAAATTGTACAAATACTACTTGAAAATTAATCTACTATCACGTCATGTTGCATCACCTCATTTGACAAATTTAGAAAATTACACTTTTGATAGTAACGCATGATCAAATGCGTTTTCTTAAACCCCTAACTAGCAAGGGAGAGACAGAGACAGGCGGTAGCTTTAACGAGGTGAGGCGATGAATCCTCTCCTTGTTAAGATAATTATGATCAGCCTCATTGTCAGAGCTAATACTTCACACGGGCTGTCTTTACGCTTTGACTACCACTTAGCCTGTGTAAGCTCACCATCATACATCATACAGCCCCGTGTGCATCAGTGTACTTTTGAGCTTACATAAGTAGTGCATGTATGTGTTGAAATCTCCATTATCTGCTAAGATCCTGTCCGCTGAGCACACATGGTGCACACACCAATATTTAGCTGGGGCAGAGACTCAGCACAGGAAGCAGGGGAGGATATGAGACACCAGACAAGGACACTGGAGAGGAGACAGTGACCCAGAGAGCAGCCCTGCCAGATCAATACACTAATACTAATGCAGACATAGTGATTGATGAACCACTGCTGACAACAGAGGGAAGAAAACTCTCGACCATTATTGGCTGAAATGTCAGTCACTCCTGCCAATGGTGTGCGCCAGTGTCATGTCATATATCCTCCAGCAGCAGATGAAAAATGGAGAACGGCAGCCTTGGCTCTTTTGCATGTGTTAAACAGTCTCTCTCCTTAAGTCTGCTGCTTTTGAAACTGTTGCCTAAATGAATCATAGTTGGCAATTTTTAGAAACTCTGAAGACGAGAGGTCAAATGTGGAGTTTGTCAAAGCTGTATGTTACAGAGCTATAATGTAAAACAACCTCAAAGTCATCCCCATTACTGAGACGGTGATAGAGATCACAGAGGCATCATCCCTGCAGCTAGAACTGCAATAATGAAAAAAAAAAAACTTCCCGAGACTAATGTGTATCAAAAAACAACAACACAAAAACACTTTGAAAAGCTGGACAGCCCTGGCAGCTGCAGTCCACAGCTAAAGGGCTAATGTCTTCTCAAGGGTCGCCGTGGTGCAGAAAAGCAATGCACTGTTATTCTAAACGGAGGGCCAGAGCTGCAGAGTGACAGGCATAATGACGTCCTGTTCAGAAGGCAACAGATAAATGTTTGATGAATTGACCAATACTGGGGCCATGATGGCCTTCATATGTGCATAATGGACTATTCAGAGCACAGTTCAGATTGCCTGCCAGGATAAGGTACTGTAATGAATGGGAAAAGGAACTGGACCTGGGAAACCCAGTATGTGGACTGGCTTTAATAAACTTAATAAGAAAGGTGAATGGTGGAGGGTTGGTTTCAGGAGGGAGGGAAGGAGTCTGGAGAGCCATTCAGCCTGAAATAGTCAAGAAATATTTGGATGGTTTTTGCCACTCTGTGAGTTGAAATATATTTCTTAATCTTAATCAATAATTCAGTAAATTAGCCGTATCCCCACATCTACCATATATATCCCCAGATCTGTGTCTTGTTGTCTTAAAACAAAGTAATCTCCGACTGGAATGACATCATCTAATACACAGTTTCCAATAGAAATACACTTATTTTAAGGATTAAGTGTAAATATCCTCAGGGTATTATTAAATTTAACTGCATCAATGTGTGTAATTATGTTCTATTTACTTTTTAAATAACTTGATTTAAACTAAGGAGGGCAATATATTGATATTTTATCAATATCGTAATATGAGATCATCTTTTTGGATATTTTGGTCATAAATTTCATCTTTTCCTGGTTTTAAAGGCTGCATTACAGTAAAGTGATGTAATTTTCTGAACTTACCAGACTAGTTGTTCTATTATTTGTCTTTACCCACTTAGTCTTTAAATCCACTTTACTAGGGCTGCAACTAACAGTTATTTTTCTTTTATTATTGATGGTATTCAGATTATCATGATAATCAATGTATTGTTTAGTCCACTGGTTCCCAAACTATGGTACAAGTACCACTGGTGGTACACAAGCTCCCTTTAGTGGTACACAGAAGAATCAAAAGTAATACATTGATTTAAATAAATGTAATGCTATCAAAACACTACAAGTCAAATGAAAATGCCTTAAACTTAGATCCCTGAAATATAATTTGATTT